AGATGCATTTACCAGGATAGAAGGGTAGAACGTATTGTGTTTAATAGTTTGTTAACTAGGCTTATTACTCTTAAATATTTTGACTTATGATATGTAAACCCCCATTCATACTCTTGCCCTAGAGCCCATCAATGTTAGGGGTGGGTCAATCCTTTGTGGAGACAGATATTAAATCATCACACAGAGAAACATAAAATCAAACCATAGTGCTAAAAAGAATAAGCACCTTGTTTGGGTTACTTCTAAAACGTTTTAATTTATCTCCACTTCCAGGATTCTCATTGTGTTTTAGGGTCTTCAGATGCCCCTTCGCCCTGAAAAGCCCTTAAATTATACCCCAAAGACCCAAAACACTGACTAAAACATTCCACATTATTCTTACCCCTTCTGAACACAGAGCTCCAGGGAAGCCAACCCCAGAAAGAATTAAAAGGCAGACCAGGCCAGACCAGTTAAGCTCTTCCTGAGTCTTTTTCTGCTTTCCATTATATCCAGAGCAGGTGCCCTCCCACCCCACTGCTGACTGCCATGGGAGGATTCCATCCTTCTACCACCTCCAGGCTCTCCACAGCTGCCCAGCTGGGAGGCATTTCACCTCTTTTCGTGCCTGGAGGTAGTATAAAGAGAAAACCCATCAAGGCAGGCAAGGGGTGGCATATCCCTTCTGCTTCCATCAGCCTAACCTCAGCCTTGCAGCTGCTCTGTTTTTCTTACTTGGTCTTCAGCAGCAATAGAGAAGCCGTCCCTGACTAATTGGGAAAAGTAGCAGATCCCCACACTTGTCTCTTTGAATAGGCACCCCACCCACTGGCTGCCTTTAAACATGCATCTCTTTCTTGTACCTGATATTACTGTAATTCACTCAGGCTCGCTGTGTGTTCTTGATCTCTATCAGCCCCTGTGATGTCTGGGTTAGATTGTGACATTCCCAGAGGGCATGGCCACCTCTACTCTGTGTCTGTGGACCCTGCTCAGCAGAACAGTAGGCACACGTAGGTGCTTAATAAATACTTTGATAATGGAAACAGATGAGCAGCGCTGTATGCCTACAGCATTGTAAGTCTGTAAGAAGCAATCCGCTACCACAGCCAGACCAGCAGCTTTCCTGCCAGCCTGTGAGACACACTTTTTCTTTTAAATGAGGCAAGGGTAGCTAGCACACTTTTGCATTTGAGATAGTGACAATAACCACAACAGAGCACTATGACAGCATTGCTGTAAGAGTATGACTGATCTGATGCTCAGGATATTCTCATGAAGTAGGACCAGCATTGTTATCCCAGTTTCACTCAGGAGGAGTCCCAGGCATAGGGCGGCTGCTTAACTTGTTCAGGCCTCCAACCAGGGCCACGGGGCTTCATACACCTCAGCTTACCCACCATGGTGCATGGCACACTTGAAGTAGACAAGTACAGGTTCAACCAAAACTGGGGAGGATGGGATTGTGAGCTGGTGTCTCATCCTACAGCCCCCGCCCAGCATGAATAAATGGCTGAGAGAAAGAGGGCGGCTACTCAGCAGCTTGCCAGCAAGAAGCCAAGTAAGGTCTCAAAGCACTTTATCCCTCCTTCTCCTCCTGTCTTCTCTGTTTTGCAAACAGGTTAAGCTTGTTCACATTCAGGCTTTTGAACTTGCTGTTTCCTCCACCTGGAATGCTCTTGCCCTAGACCTGTGCATTGCTGGGAACTTCTCATCATTTAAGTGTCAGCGCAGATGGCACGTTCTTGGGAAGCCTTTTCCTGCTCACCCTGTTTAATGTGTCTGTATCTGTCCCACCCCCTCCCTTCCATTCCTGTCTAACTCACTTGCCTTTTCAAATTTCATCAAGCACTTAAGGCTATGTGAAATTACCTTATTTTTCCACTGGTTTATTTGTCTATTTCTGTGTCTCCACTAGAATGTCAGCTTCAGGACAGCAGAAATCTCATGTGTTTTATTCACTGATGACTACTCAGGGCCTGGAAGAGCATCTGGCACACTGTAGGTGCCCAGTAAACATTTGTTATATAAGTACATGCATGAATGAATGGATGCAAGGTCCTCTGTAGATATGTGTGAAAGCAGAACTATCTGGGATCCCCTGTTGCCCCTCACCATATCTATTGCAAGTCCTTGATAAGAAGAGATTAAATCTTCATTTGGGGTAGCCTTGTAGCCTCTAGAGCAGTAGCAAATGACTGGGGTGATGAGTGTGTGTGGTGGGGTAGGGGTTGGTGGGGGTGGGAGGGTGTGCTATTTAGTTCCTTTGTTTAGACAAGGGTAAGACCAAGACATTCAGCTACTAAGATTGCAGACCACACTCCCTCCAGGGCCACGTGTAGACAATTGCTGGACAGCTCTCTCCCTGAACAGAAACTAAATTATAGAAATCTCAGCTTCTCTGTCTCTCTTTCTTCCTCTCTCCCTCCCAACTCCTCTGTTTTTCCCTCCTTCTGTCCCTATCTCTTCCCCTTCCTTCTCTGGACTTTCCCTTACAGCCTCTCCTTTGTCTCCTTTTCCTCATTGAAATGCTGTAAAAAAAAAAAAAAAATGAGAAGAGAATGAGAAACTATGTTCTCTACGCAATATATAGTACTCAACATTACGCTTATTACTACTGGAACACAATCTCATTAAAACCTCTTGTCTCCTGCACAGATAAAGTAAACCTCCAAAGCATCATAGTCATAATCATATGCAGGAAGTGGTTGATTTGATCCAGTCTTCGTGCAGACCTGGCCCCCTACTCCTCCCACATAATAGAGCCCATTCCTTTATTGGTGTTAGCTTTTTATATTCAATGCTTTATTTATGACATATCATAAAAATAATGAACGAGAAAGGTAAGCTCCTAACCTCTGACCAGACCTTGTATCACATGAGGTTTTACAATATTGCTAGTAATTTTTTTCTTTTTCCTTTAGCAATAAAGTACAGGTTTTCCAGCATCAAAATACATGCTCATTATATATTAATCCCTTCCAAGATATTTTCACCCTCATTATCTCCTGGATCTTCCCAACACACCTATAAAAAAGGGGGAGGGGAACAGGAAAGGGTATCTCAAATCACAGGTGAAAAAGGGGCCCAGAGGCGTAAAGCTATTTGGAGACGTTCACACAGCAGGTAAAATATTATCCCAGGACACCTTTAAGCCCTGCTGTTTTCTAGACACAAGCCTGCTCTTGCCAGAAGCCACAGTCCCAGCAGCCCCTGAGACATGCAGACCTGAGCCAGACCATGTGAGAGAAGAAATAGATTAGGAGGTTAGGAAGCTCAATAATTCTTTCTTTTGGAAAAGAGGAGGTTCCTGATTGGGACAAGATTCTGACACAGAAAACCCAAAATGAGGCCCCCCTCCTGCTGTTAGCCATGCTATTCTAGATAGATCTGCCAGACCCTCTTGCTGGAAGTAGAGGAAAGGGCTGACAGAAAGTCATCCTGAACCTTCTTGCCTAACAGAAGTTTTCAACTCTGGGCAACACTTTAATTGGTACTTCAGGAAATTCTATTGATCTATTGATTCTTTGAAATCCATCAAAACAGCTGAACACATGGAAGTTTGGGGAGAGTGTTGCACCTAGGGAAGGCATGGAAGCCCCTTATCTCTTCCCCAGCACTCACCCTATACAACTCATCTGATTATTTATCTGTATTGTAATAAACTCTATGATGAATGAGTAAAAAAACATAAGTAGGAATCCAGCTCTCAGCTTCTCAGAGACATTTATTCACACTGAAATCTGTATCACTTGCCCCCAGAATGCCTAGGCAGTGACACCTGGCATTGCTGGTCCCTAATGTGATCTGTCCACTCAGAGCACAGAAAATAAATTAATGAAAATGTCAGCTATACCTGCATCTAACAGAGCAAGCCCTCAGCAAGAGCCAGAGCCAGTGAGGAGCTCCAGCAGGGCAGTCTACTGCACACCCACTTGTTTGAGGAGCACCAGAAGTCTACCCTCCACTCTGGGAAACTACTGAAGGAGTGGTTGATGTGACACATAACCTTGCCCATGTTGCAGTTGAATTTTCCTTCTCCAGCATCGCTAACTAGATTAGTTTTCAGGTGAGCCTTTCTATCCGGGATTCTTTAGAAAATGTTGCCACGATTATGACTCCTAAAGACGTACATATGATACCCAGAATTGTGGACACTAGATTGTAACTGGGGTAAAAAGAGGTGTCTGTGAAAATCCAAATGGACAGGGTATGGAGAGCCTACCAGACTTGAGAAGGGTCTGGTCCATGAGACACTTGGCTACCCCAATTCTGGATGGGAAGAGTTTGGGGAACAATTTAAGTCAATGTGCTTCAGACCTGAGAAAGGGGAATAGATGTGTCAAGAGTCCCTACTTGCTTATTCACGTCCCTTAAATGCTCCGTGACACCCATTTACCTCCCTTCTTTCAACATAAAAAAACTAGAGTCTGCCAAGAGGTGTCTTAGCTAACCACATACTCTGTGACCTAGAATCCATCTCCATTTCCTCCTCAGTGACTAGAACATACTGTGATGAATGTCAGTATATCATGGGAGACGGTGGTCTCAAAGAGTGTTGTTGGAATTTAACCTATGAGAACATCTCAGCACATTTTCAAAGAAGAAAGAAATTTGGATCTGGGACGGAAGACAGGCTGGAGAAAACACTACTAAAACAAACCAAAGAAAAGGGTAACAACTTGGCAACAAGTGAGAGTGTACCACCAACTTTCTCCGTTTCATTGCCTCGGGATCTTCTACTCCAAGGATGTTTGTGGAATTTGGGGATGGAAATGAAGACACTAGCACCAGAAGGACAATGCAAAAACTAGAGCCAAAGTGAACCACCAAACCGGCTCCATCAGCAACCAGATGCCAATGGGGCAAATTAACCACAGGAAACATCAAGGAGGAGCTGTTGAAACTTACAGTTCCCACACTAGAGACAGCCTAATGGTTCTCCAGGGCAAGAAGCCCAGTAGTCATATGTAAGACCCCGAGATACCACAGGAAGTAAGAGGAAGGAAACGGGGACTCACCTGTTCTGGCCCCTGGAAGCAGATGCGGCAGAGTGGGGTCCTCAGACCACTGTCCAGGCTGCTGCCCAGGGAGTAGCAGTCCTCAGCCTTCTCCTTACAGAAGTCATCTGAGGAGGCACTGCTGAGCAGCAAGGCAGGTGGCTCTATGGCTGGGCCACCCCAGTCACCCTCCACAGAGGAGGGCGGCAAAGGTGGTGGAGGTGGCACAGGAGGGGTCTCCCTGCCCACCACCTCTCGAGGGCCTCTCCAGCCTGCCCACCCCCCGGCGCCCAGAGCCGGAAGGGTGTTGTTGTTGGCCGCCAAACCGGGGGGCTGGGGGTCGCCGTGCATGGGCAGTGGCGCTGGAGGAGGGCGCCGCAGTAAGAAAACCTTCAGGTCATTGAAGAGCATGCGGCAGCGGCACTTGAGGAGACCCTGGTGGCGCAACATCTGGGGAGCCGGGGTGCACAGTCCACAGCAGCACCAGCCACGGCAGCACCACCACCAGAGCAGCCCACACAGGGGCATCAGCATGTGCCCAGGGGGAGCAGAGAGCCCGAGAGGGGCAGCTGAGTCTTTGAAGTGGGGGGGTAAGATAGGTTTGGGGGGTCCACAGTGTATCTGTGTAATGGAGGGGCCTGCTTTCTCAATGGCTCTTCTTACAACCCCTCCAAATAGCCAATAAATGGCTCCCAGGGCTGAGAACTATAAGTCACTGATTCCGAACTCTGCCTGGAAAGCTCAACAACAGAAAAGTTTTTCTTGAGCTTCCACCCCACCCCGGCCTCAGACCTCGCCCAGGGATTCTCCTTTCTGCCTTTGACCTGAGGACACTGGTAGGAGCAGTAGGGCAGAAGCCTGTGAATGGTTGCTGGAGCCTTAAGACCAATGCCTGATTGTTAAAAAGTTCCCCAGGGGGGAAAAATATTGGATTCTTCTCAAATTCCTAGGCAGTAGGAAATCTCTTTCTTTTATATAAAAGGGTGGGGGTGACGATAAATCAAATTTGGAGTGTATTGACCTGGGCCCAGAGAAAACTTCAATGAAGAATTGAGGGCTGCATATGTGAGAGAAAAAAGATAGTTTTTCTCAGGTAGTAGGGGATTCCGGGGGGAGAGGGGGCCAAGGTGAAGGAGGAAAGGAGGTTGGGAGAAGTTTTAATTCTCCTGGGCAGAAAACTGGGGCAACAAACCCCCAGAAGCACCAGATTGCCTTTAAAAGAGCATTGGGAGGGGGAGGGGTAGCAGGTGAGGTTGGGCGAGGGGCTTGTGCTTCGCTTCTGCAGCCGAAGGGCTACACCCAAGAGGGGAAAGCCAATTAGGACTGAGGTGGGAAACGAAGGCTTAGAGAGGGGAAAAGAAAGAAGAAAAAGAAAAGATCTTTTTTAACCCTTGCAGAGCCGCCTTCTTCCTGAGAATTAAGATCCTGGCTAGAGGAAGGGTGTGTATGGGGGTGAGAGGGCGGAGGAACAGAGAAAAGGAGTAGAGAAGAGGGGCGTGTGGGAGGGAACAGGAGGAAGGAGTAGTTACATTATCTCAGCCCCCAGCCCAGCCCTGCTGCAGTCCGTAAATCCGTGGTCCCCTCCCCTCGGTTCCATCAAAGGTCCCTTGGGGCGAGGGGCAAGAGCCAAGAGAAGGGCAGGTCCGGGTGGGCGGGTGCCCTCGCCTTCTCTTCTTCCTCCTCTGGATCGTGGTCGCCTTCCTCCTCCGGCTCCGGGTCTGCCCGCGCCCGCCGCTGCTGCTGTGGCGGCGGAGGCGACTGCTGGTCGGCGTCCGGGTGTCTCCGGGGCGGGGGCTGCTCTGGCTCGTCCTCTGGCTGCTGCCCGCCGTCCGGCGCGGTCGCGACTCCCGGCTTCATGATCCTCCTCCTCCTCCTCTTTCCCGGGGGGCCAGCCCTGAGCCCCCGCGCCGGGGCAGCGCTGCCATGCAACCAGAGGCGAGGCAGGCGTGGGGGTGGGGGCGGCTGGGGAGTGAGGAAGGGGGTAATAAAAAATGCAGTAATACTAGTGGAATAATTCGGTTCTCAGATAATCAGGAAAGAGTGCTTCTGGTGGGTGCGGGCGGAAGAGGGCGGCTGCCGGGTCTTCTTTGCAGCTCTGCCCCCGCTACCCACACCAAGGACGGCCTCGGCCGGCTCTCTGCACCCCCAGTCCGCCCCTCCCTCCTCCGCCGCCTCTGGCTGGCTGGGCTGGTCGCGGCTACCTTCCCTCGCAGATGCAGCGAGGTAAGGCTTGTTTGCTGTGCCAGCTGAAGGTGGGGAGTAGGGAGCGAAGCGGCGTGGCCAAAGTGGGAGGCAGGCGGCACTTGGCTCCAGCTTGGTTCTTGCGACTCCCCAAAACCGTATATAAATATATTTCTTAAAAGCAAATCAGATTCCAGGCTGCTGCCAGGTGTTGTCTCGTCTTCCACCGTTGCTCAGCACCCGCCGCGGCGACTGCTGCCCCCCTGGATCGGTTCCCAAAGGGGTGGTGCTGGAAGGGAGGTGGCGGGGCGGTGAGCTGACCGTCCAGGACTGGAAAAGAGGTTCTGGGAGCGGAGGAGGCTCTCAGCGATCTCCACCGCCGCCGGCGCCTCCGCCGCCGCCGCTGCTGCATTCAGCACCCGGGGCGAGTGGACAGCTCCCACCCAGACCCCGCGCGTCACGCCAGTGGGGGCCTGACGCAGACGCCGCGGAGGGAGGGAGGAGGGAAGGGGAATGAGAGGAAAAGAGGCTAGAGGGAGAGGGAGCCAGAGGAGGAGAGAAGAACCGAGCGGAGCGCGGGGATGGGGAGGAACCATGGGAAAGGGAGGTAACGAAGAGAGGGAGGGATTTCGGAAGGGAGGGAGGAGGGAGCAAAGTGAAAGTGTGAGAAAGAGGAAGAAAGGCAACTGGGGTAGAGGGACTAACTCTTGGCATTCCTGCCCAGTTGTAATGGTGATTGTATCATTTCTGCCCACTGTACACTATCACGGCCCGCCTCAACACACATTCACAGAGACAGCTACTTCTCAACCTCAGTCCATCTCCCTGTTCTTAGAAATATCTGAAGTACATAAACATTTAAAGTAGAGAAAGTTTTGTGACTTCCTCAATGACGCTGGGACAGGAGGGAGATTAAGTGCCTCGTGACTAACACTTCACAAGAAGGAAATACTCCAAACTTTCAAACAGGGAGGAGGATGCTAGCACCATTTTTTTTTGTCAGTTTCATCTTCTATTATAGAATTTGAGCTCCAATGGGAAGGGGTTTTTAGAAAAACATTTGATTCCATGTGCCTAAGTCAGTGATGGCATATATGAAGTGTTCAATCTATATTTGGTTAACTACCTGTGGCCACCATCACCACCATATATGGTCGTCCTTGTCACAAGCCAGAGTCTTCTTTCAGTTGTGAATCACAAGAATCCACAGCAATATTACAGCCTCATCTTAACCAATATCTCCAGTCTCCTCCCTATCCAAGCTTTTCACCCTCAGGAGGTAACTGGAAATGGATTTTAATTTCCTCCCCTACTTCTGCTTCTGACTCGCCTCACCCTACCCCATCCTTCTCAAGGAGTTTCTAGTGAACAGAAAAGTGTCCCTACATATGAAGAGAGAGGAAGAGAAGGAAACTGAAAGTGGTCTGTATAAAAACTCAGTATTTGCAGCTGGAGACTTTGGTCACTTAAAATTTAAGATTGCCTTTTGGCCTTTTCCTATAATCCCCTTCCCTCTATTTCTCTCTAGCGTGCGCGCACACACACACACACACACACACACAGACTCTTCTAGGGTCATAGACTTGGAAAAGACATTCCAATGAGTCATCTAAACAGCTGTGGTAATACCTTTAGAAATATTGGATCCATAGACACAGTGGCATGCAAAATCTCTGCACCAAAATATCACTGGCATGAAATTCAGCCCAATGAATCATAAGAAAACTACCCCTTTGCTGCCATCCCCATGAATGATTCATTCCTACAAGCTTTAAGGAGCAAGGACCAAGGTTAACCTAGAGTGGCTTGGTTAACCTAAAGTGGCTGCTTGTCTGAATCATGTCTCAGCACCCACTGTGGATGCTGAGACCTAGCCCAAGGTTATTGCTTTGAAGGTTATGCTGATGTTTTTAATAACTATAAAATAATACTTACTTATTGATATCAGCATGAACACTGTGTTACAAAAGAGAACCTCTTTATTTAAAAAATTCCATCTGCCTTCAAAGAAAATCTGTGCTCCACATCACCCAGTTATCTGCCTCTGGCACTGCACACATCCTACTCTGTAATAATTATCTCATTATACATTTATCTCCCTTCATGTAAATCAGATCTCCTTGAAGTCAGGGATTAGTATTTATATTTGCATCATCAGCACCTAAAGTTTGGTAGGTGATCAAGAAAATGGCCTCTAAATAAATAAATGTCCTTTTTATTTCAGTGAAGCTGTCCTATTTCTCTCCTTCAGCCTAGACACGTACATGTGAGTGTTCTCACACTGAATATCTGAGAACCTAAATTGAGTGTTAGGGTTGTGTGTTCATAAAATGCTAGTTCCAAGTGTGTCGTGTGGGCAAATTGGGGCAGGAGATAGAAAAGCCATATGAAGCCTATATTCAGAGTCACAGAAATGAGTGATATTCATAACAAGACTGTCTTGTCCAACCCTTCCACTGGAAGTGAAAAGATCTCTAGAAAGAGAAAACTGCGAAGGATGGGAGGTAACAACAGATTGTCTTCGCAAAGACTGAGAGGCCTGCTTTGAATATAATGTAAATCCAGAAAAACACCTCACGGAGTTAGATTCTTCTCCTATCGGTGTTGAATCCTGAGTCCCAAGAGTAAAAACAACCGTAAAGAACATGTTAAGTCAATGGATTTCCATTGAAACATTCAAAAAATATCCACAGAGCATCAGTCATAGGTAAAGCAGAGAAGAGGTGCGGAGCACAAAAATAAATTGGTTGGAGTTGCATCATCAAAGGTCTAGCACTATAAATATGTGCATAACCATAATATAAGGTGTAAAATAATACATACTATGACGGTATAATAAGTTTGGGGGTGTTCAGAATAGGGAGATAATGCCAAGAGCAAGGCAGCAATTAGGAGAGGTGGAAAAGGTGAGGGAGGTAGAGATAGATACCACAGATCTGGGAAAGCCTTTTTCAAGAAGTGGCACTTGAACTGAGTTAACATATGTGAATTTGGAGAAGGGAAATGTGTTCTCAGCAGTGGGAGCACTGCATACTTTAGCTTTTCCATTTGGCTGGTATAGAAGGTGCTTGAAGGTAAGTAGCTAGAAATAAAGTCAAAAAAGTAGGCTGGAGCCAGATTACAGAAAACTCTGAATGCCACTCTGGGAGAAGATTTATTCATTGACCAGGCACTTGTTTTAATGGTTTTAAAGATTTGGAGCTGAAAGTGAAGGGCAAAAATAAACTTTATCTCTGAGCAGGTTAATTAACTGAATGGGATTTCATTGCTAACAGGTGGGAAGCAATCAATATTTTTCATTTCACGCCAGAAAGTTCCTAGCTCCTTAATAGATTTATTCCTTTAAATTAGGTTGTTTTCAGATATATTTCATTATGTACAGAGATGCTGAGGTCATATGAATTAGAAGAAGAGTAGAGGAATTGGAGGCTCCAAGGAATACTCTTCAAGAAGAAATATTAGGCAACCCAGAGATCGGAAGAGATTCCTGATGGAGGCCGTTGGCCTTGTTTTTCCCAACAAGGAAGCTCTAAAGGGATCCATGTCATTCTTTCTTCTTCACCTAAACAGAGAGTACCAAGGCTAAAGGGGATTTAAAAAA